AAATTTTGTATATTTTTTAATCACCCAAGAAAAGCCTATACATCCCAGTTTGCAGATAGGCCTCAACTGACCGTAAAAAAAGAACCTAACCAACTGCAATTTCGACCCTTTTGCCAGCAATCCAAAGCAATCCAGCGCCAAAAGAGCTGCGAGCGTCACGCGAGTGGTTCGCTGAGGAGCAAAAGCAGAAAGCAAAAGCAAAGCAACCTGCAAGGAAAACTGAAAAGCATGTCAGTTTCATGCTCGCGGCCACACTTAACATTATTTCTGATGCAGCTGCAGTAGCAGCAGAAACAACTAGTACAGCAAGAACAACACACTTCTTTTGTACAATAACATAAACAACAACATAAAGCACAACAACGGCTACGAGCGGGTCTCAAAAAATACCTTAACAATACAGCGCGCTGTCGAGGAGCACAGCAAGCGTAACGCATACGCAACGTGGTCCAAGGCAGCGGTAGCGGCATCAGGTCAAACTTAAATATTTAATGAAGCGCTTAATGCGCAATCGCTCAGACCGCCCCCCGTTGGCTTAATTGCCGCGCCCAGGCTTTCTGGTCAAGAAGCAGGCCTGCAAATATTTTCAGCAAATTTTTGCTTAATGCAAAAAATATTTCATTGTGCCAAGGCTTGAAGTCAGGAGCCGTAGCCTGCCTACTGGCCATAAATTTACAGAGCGGGGCGTGCACATAAGCAGCCCCAAAATGTTTGTGGCGGTCCTCTAAGCCCAGGCATGCGGTCGCCCAGGCATGTGCAGCATTTCAAGCACCGTACCAGACCGCACCGCACCGCACCGCGCAACAGCAACAACAAGAACAACAACAACAAAATTACACAAAAGAAGTGGAAGCCATTGCCAACAATTTGGATGGCCAACGATGGGCGCCAGGTGCTAGCTGCAAGTGATGTCAACTAATCTGTTCGATAGTAAGCTAAATTTAAAAAATTCCTGTAGGGAAACCATAAATATCTAATATGTTTTCTATATAAAATGAAATAAATAAAGACTATATCAAAATGGACCACAGAAAACAAAACGTAACCTTCAACTTAGTTTGGTTAAGGCATATGATTGTCTGATTTAATTTTTATGTATTCCCAGTTTATTTCTCAATGACCATGTTAATGGCCTTTTCAATGTATATTCTCTACACTTGTAGAGGGTATTAAAATTTAGCCATGAAATGTGTGATATTGTCATGTCCGTCGATCCATCTGTCTGTTTCTATGTGAACTTGTCTGTCGGTATTAAAAATCATCTTAAAACTTAGCATAGATTAATTTTTCTGTTATAGGCAGTTCATAGATCGGATCCTGCCGGATCGAACCACTATAAGAACGATCGGTCTAAAATAAGTTTCTGTGTGGAAAATCTTTTTGTTTGTCAACATATCTGACCAAAACACCGCATTTATTAGTTTAACTATGCTGCTACTGCTGCTATATGAGCCAAATGTCGCACTTGTCGAGAGAAAAATGAGTAAATGTGAATGTTTGGCAAAATAATTTAGTTCTACCAATAAATTTTAGCGAGAAAACGGCTGTCAGCTCTGAGATGTTGCTGGTCCTGTTGACGCTGTTGACGCTGTTGCTGTTGTTGCTGCTGCAGCTACGGCGACAAAGCATTAAAACATTTGCACGAACCGGCTGGTAAGCATTCTTTGCAACAACAACAACAAATACAACAACATAAACAAAAACAAAAAAAAAAATGGTCGAGGCTGCTTAACATTTAAAGTGAACAATGGAATATGCCTGGCTGTTCCAGCGCACCGAATTTGCTCATACGCCCCCGCTCCGCCGAGGCGTTTGCTTTACTTATTTACACCAAGCAAAGGTGTTGTAGTTTTTCTTTGTGCGTGTGTGTTTGTATGAGCCTGTGTTTGGTGTATGTATTTGGTATGTTCTCTGTTGATGCTTCGTCGCAGTAAAGGACGACGCGAGTCGCTTACAAATTACCCTCCCACACACATGTTCAGTAGAGCACACTCGCATAGTTGCACACCCGCGCGCGCACACACATACACATGTGGCATGCAGAGGGACTGCCAATGAAGAAGAGAAACCTTGCGGCGCCTGCACTTCTGCGGCCCATTGCCCGCGATAAGCTTGCAGCGGGTGTAACGAAATTCGGTCAACATGTTGGCCATGAGGATGGCCAATGGCCAATGGCCAATGGCTGCTGCCATTTGCTGCCCACATGTGGCCATAATTTTTAAGCGCCAAATGAGAAGCAATTCATTGACCGTGATGTCTGGTGTTTGCCGTTGCCTTATTCCCAGTCACAGCATTTACATCTACATAGTTAGAATCTGTTTATTTGTATGTGTGTGCAGCTCTGGGCCCTGGGCCAAAATGCTTCTGCAGAGACGTTAGTTTAAGTTTGAGCCAGAATGTTGCGTTTTCTAATTGCTGTTTGTGGGCGTAATGGGGGCGTGTGAACTTTCATTTGCGCTTGCCACTTTCTATCGGTCCTGTTGGGCAGTGGACTCTAAAGAAGAACATTGCCAGCATAAAGCTGCAAAGGTAAATTAAAAAAAGACTATAACAGGGAACAGGAAAATTAGAAACAAGTTGAGTAAAGAGTTCTATTTCATTGTATACCCTGTACCTAGTGAAAATGGTGCAGGTGTGGATCGAATCGTAAAATGCAACTCTAATTTTTTTCTAGTAATTTTTTGATAATAAGGTTTTGAATTTCACAATGGATCCTGTTTGATCTTTTAATTATGTCTGTTTCAAATACAAATCATCATACTAATTATCATCATAGACATGTAATAATTAATGTTGTTTTCTTGATTGATCTCTAGTAACTAAATTTTTATGTAATCGGCAGTGTTTGAGTTATCTTTGTTCAGACATAATGAAATAGTATATCAGATAATATTGCAAACAGCAAAAAGAACCCACTATCATAATTGTGGTACGTATTAGCTAGTTTATAAAAATGTTTATATATTTGTATTCAAAAATATCATTACAGTATTAAGAAGCCGGACTTTAGTATGCTGGTTGACATAAGGTGTAAGTGCCACAAGCATATATATTTATCAAAATATTACTATATTATTAAGAGTTTTCTAGGGAAAATAGATTTAAGCGATCTTTCAATCATACAATTTTCTTTGAATTGAATTCATTTGCTTGCAGTGCATGCTAGTCCTTGTAAGTCGCATAATCACAGCTCAGCTGTCAAAACCCTTTAGGTATTTTAGGAAATTTTGTTTCGTTCTTTTTGCTACAAACCTCTTGCTGCAAGCCAAAATTTATTCTGCTAGCAATATATCCATGTATATAAGTCCCACACCAGGCGAACATTGCACAAATAACATAGAGTTAGCCTAGCACATTTTCTTAATTGTAAATATTGTCACGAACGCTCGCACCCACACACGCACACGCACACACACACACAGACGCATACGCGCACGCACAACATACAACTGTTAGATCTGCATGTATAAATGGCAGGCAAATTTACCTTAAGATACGCTGTGTGAATTCCAACAAAAATAAAAATACATCGTCACATGCAACTTGAACAGACTATAAAATATGCTACGTTTTTTGTCAAAGACCCCGCTAACACACACACACACACATACAAATAAAATGAGCCGAAGGACGAAATAGAAGCAAAACAAAGACACCGAAAACAAAAACAGCAACGAAATCAGCACAAAACCACAATCGAGATCATTATCAATTACACGCACAGTAGGACACGACTCCAGGACACGGCGACAGACAGTAAAAACACTGTAAAAAAGCAGATGAGAGAAGTGTCGGAGTGGGAGGCATAAACAGGGAGAGAAGGCATCGAAAGCTCAAAGAAAATAAGCATGAAATTGCAATTTACATCAAATTCATTTGCACCCATATGCACACATAAACACGCACACACACACATACACACGCAGCTGAGTTACAAATAAAATTCATTCATACGCATAATGAAACAAGGCTCGCCTGGTCCCAAGTAACATGCGGCCAGAAAGGATAACAAAGGCATGGCCGAAAATAAGGACAACAATGTATAGAAATAAACAAACAATTGTAGCCAGTGGCTCCCCGTTTCCCTACTTTAACACATAAAGGCAGCAGAGGGGTTGGAGGGCAAGAGGCGTCGGATGAGAAAGAACAGCAACAAGAGCAAAGCAAAGGAGATTCCCAAAATTTTTGTTTTTGGGCTGCGGCGCACATTGTCGCTGGCCGGCCCTTTTATCTCTGCTGGGAATTCGCATGCACACACACAGAGAGTTAGCTAAAGAGAAACAGTGCGTCAGCGAGAGGGAGAGACAAAAACAGAGACAGAGACAGAGAGCATTTGCGCCAGAGGTAGCGAAAATCCACGCCCTGTATGTAAATTATTAGCTAGGCACTTTTTGTGCGGGCGCCTGGAGTTGTCGTCAAAGCCAGAATAATTTTCGGGTAGCAGAAGCAGCACATACGGCAGACGCTGAAAAATGTTCAAACACACACACTCACACATACACAAAGCTGATAAAAGCAGGCACAGATGTAAGAGAGCAGTGAACGCCAGATAGAGAGTTACAGAAAGAGAGAGAGAGAGAGAGAGAGTGTGTGTGTACGTGCGGCAAAAGTAAAACGCCCTTTTATCGCTTGATTTGAGGCGGCTGTGTAGAGTTCTGGCGCAGCTAAGAGAGCGAGATTCGCACTTAAGCGAAGAAGTTCGATAAACTGTCATACAAACATTCCCAAAAATCATAGCCTACCTTGGGGCGGAGAGTAAGACCAGGCAAGTTGAGCAGATTTCTAGGCGCTGCCAGGAAAATGACAAAATATAAAGAGAGCGCGTCGCTCTTTGTCGCTTTGTGGCGCTCAACTTGCGCACAGCATCCGAGAGTGTGGGCTACATGAGAGCAGAAGCAGCAGCAGCAGCATTACAGGCAGCAGCGACTCATCGGCGGCAGCTTCAGCGCCAGCTGCGAAAAATCTGCCATGCAGCGGCGGCCAACAGTAGTTGCCTCAGAGCCCGCGGGTTGAAGAAAACGTACGCATCGAGCGAGCCGTATTGCGTCGCGTGTAACCAAACAAGGAAAAGCAAGAGCATAGCCAATAGAAGCAAATGAAAATATTACCAACAAAATAAAATAAATAGAAATAAAAATATCAAATCAAACACAGAATTGCAATTAAAATAGAGCGTAAATAATATCAATAATTTGACACTGGGCCAACGTAGTTTAACCGTTCGTGTTCAAACAGCGGCAACCAAAATGTCTCCCCGATTGCCTCGCAAATGAGCAAACAAATATTTGATTGTCATACGTTGCCGCTGCTGCGACCGCTGCTACTGCGGAGCAGCGAGTACGAGACCGATACCGATACCGCTACCGAGTCCGAGTCTGAGACCGAGTCAGTATTACAAACGGCGTCACAGTCAGAGACTTTCACACACCGTGCCGCTTTCCAAGCAGGGCGTGTGCTGCTGCAACATCAACATAAGCGACAGCAGCACCCGCAGCAACATCCACACCACCAACACCTCAATACCCTACAACAAAATCAACAACAGCAGCAGCAGCCACAGCCGCAGCCACAGGAGCATCTTTTGTGTGTGTGTCCCTATCAAAATCCGCATCCGCATCTACATCCACAGCCACATCCGCATCAAGAAGCATGTGCGCGCTCGTGTGTGAGTGTGTGTTTAATTGAAAAGTCATCGTCTTGGCACGGTCAAATGCAACTCAATGCGGCCGCCACAGAAATCTCAGTAAACTAAACCGTCGAGTGTTGTCCAATTCTTGTTTTCGTAATCGCCGTCATCAACGCTGTTGCCGTCGCCGTCAGGTCTGTCTCAGCCACTGAATCACTGTCGCCGTCTCTGTTTCTGTCGCTGCCGCCGCCCACGACGTGTTGGCCGCTTGTCAGCAGGTCTCGAATTTCATTTCGTTTCCGGTTCCGTAGTTCGGTCGCTGGTTCGCTGTACTCGGTCCGTCTGTCCAACTGTCTGTCGGGCTGTTGTTACTGCTTTTTTTTTCCTGTGCGGCGCGTTGTCGGTCCCGCGTCTATTGTTGTTGTTAAGCCGTTGTCTGCCTGACTTTGTGCGCAAATTGATGTCAGCAATGTAAGTGTGGCAAAAACACAACCAGTTTATATGTATATATACATTTCACACACACCTACACTTATGCAATGTGTGTGAGTGTGTGGGAATGTTTCATGATTTCGTTTAACTGTTGCGCCAACTGCGTTCCACGTCCCAGACACTGACATGCTCATCATTATGAATGTGTGTCAGTGCGCGCTTTCACCACACTTCACATCGTAGCACAGAAATCCAACTTAAATCAGGCTCATAAGTTGTAACATTTGTAACATACTTGACATTCTCTTTCAAATAATCTGAGAGTAATATTAGCAACAGTTTGTTTGTCATAAGATGAACTGATTAGCGTTTATTCTAATTTATTTGGAATATTTACTATCATATTTTGAACAAGTGCCCAGTCCTAATCTGTTTTGGATGCAATTTCCGTTCCGCTCCAAACGATTTTGTTTTTACCAATATTTTAAGTTGCAGGCTAAAAATAAGTTATTCCCTTTCCTTTTTGTACACAAGTAATGTAATTTTACACATATAAATATTACCACATAAAATCAGATAATATTTACAAACTCAGTACGTCATTTATATTAAATATGACCTTAGAGTGTTTAGTTTTCGAAAGTACTCTTCCGTCCTTTTCTTGTTTTTCTTTTTATAAGCCCTACATGCATGGCTTTTGTGCTGATTTCTTCATATTATTGTTGCACCAAACACGGTTCTCGTTTGCTCTAATTCATACGATTTACTTTGGTAGGGAATGCCTATGAACTCTGCTCCCCGCGCCCCGTTCTTAGTTCTCACTTTACATTTTACTTGTCAAACTTCACGGATTACTCATACGCCACGCACGCCTTAAGTGTCAATCAGTCAGTCTGTCAATCATATACTCAGTCCGTTTTTCCTATATCCGTTTTTGCTTTTTGTGTGCGTTTTGTTTGTTGTTATTGTTTTGTGTTGTTATTATTTTTAACGTAAATTCCCACTTGTTTAGTTGCCATTCAGTCTTGTTTTTGTGTACGGTCTTCTATTGTCTTTGGCATTGTCCTGACAGAAGCACCCACACACACACACACGCTCACACACAAACACACAACCACAGCATTGCTTGTAATCGTGTGTGCTTGTGTGCACTTTTTGTGACGCCAAGTTGAACGAAGTTGTCGATTTTTTGTTGTTCTACAAATATTTTCGTTTTTGAAGTTGATTTTTGGTCCTCGTCTCAGCGCCTTTTGTTATTAGTTCAACTCCAAAGCACCTCGCTTCCTCGTTTACTTCCGCACCCACTTTAACAATGTGCTTTGAATTGTTGCTAAATTGAATATAAAGTGTTTATTTATATTGGTGGTCAGCTGACACGCCCACTGCTAGTAAGCCCTTGGCTGCAGTTGATAATATGACACTGAGGCATTATTTCTTGCCAACGCTGCAATTGTCGATGCTTCACTTTAGCTGGCACAATTTAAGTGAACCGTTTGTGTAGCGCAAACAAAATTAAACGATTTGCAAACTTTGTGTCTACAAAAATGGTTCTTACTGTAGCTTTTGTTGTACCTGCTGCTACAATTGTAGTTGCTGGTCCTAACGAGTGGAGTAAACATTTTTGAGTAAGCAGCTTAAGCTTTTACTATATATAAAACTTTTTGACCTGACCGAATGAGTGACTAGTGATCAATGACCCTAAGAGCTGAGATATTCACATTTTTACTGAAGTTACCTTACGGCGAGGTTTTGGTAACTTCCATTCGCTCATTTAGAAAAATAGCGAAAAACGGAAAACGTTATTTGAACAAGGATCTTTGAAAATGAGTTTGAGGACGAACAGAAAAAAAAACTTCATACAAACATTTTTCGAGATTTTTCCACACTTGGGGTGGAATTTGTATTGACTTGGTATCAACTAAAAATTCCAGCTTCCTTACTCTTACGGTTTGGGCTCTGCGTTGATCAATAATCAGTCAGTCAGAACAAATATTTTTATTTATAGAGATATATATATGTATATATATATCGTATTTAATAGTTGGTTTTCCAATAATAGCAGTCTCTATTCTTAAAGTTATGCCACGACTTATAAAACTTATTGTTTAACAACGCGAAACTAAAGAAAAGTTTTTTTTTATGAAAGTTTGTCTATTGGAAAATCCTGGAAAACTAAAAGTTTTTGGAATATTTTTAATTTAAAATTATAAGTGATAGGTACTCAAACCTCATTAAAAATCATATCAAAGGCACAGAAAATTATTTCGCTTTAAGAGAAAATAACACTTTCTGGCAGACAGCTAGTCTGTATAACTCGGACTTCAATCCAAAATTTGACGAAGACGTCTTAAGCCATTTTCAATAAGCCCAATTTCCGCCACATTATTTAATAAAAACATATATATCATATAGACTCTTGACAAAGTCGAGTGGTCGCGGCGAGCCCATTTTCTCCATATAACCATTTTTATCTATCCTCTTGCCCCATAAGTTAAATGATTGCATTGCTGCAAAGTCAACTGACTGCAACCCGTTATATATATCTGGAAAATCTGTCAAACAATACGCTTCGATTGCTGTCCCAGTAGTTGTTGTAGTCGCTGTTGTCATGAAATTGTTTCAGCTCGCTGGTCATAAAAATATATAGCATACTTTTGTGCGCAACGGGCAGAATGCTCGACCAGTTCTCCATGGACTTCTGCTGAATTGTTGGCCCCCCACCTTAAAATGAATGGAGAGCGAAAAAGTCATCGCTTCGCTGTTATTTATACATTATATATATTATCTCTGTCCTCTTAATATTTAAGCCCACTCATTAGAGAAAGATACTTTTCGAAGATTGACCAAGGGACGCCGCCTGCTGCTTGCGGCACGCCACGTGCAGCCTTAAATTTGTGCTTTAAGAATAAGCTTGATGCACTCTCAAGGAAGCTTTATATTCTTTAGTGCAGGATGCGCCACTTGTTTGGGACTCGATGTGCTTGGTCTGTCGCATTGTTGCTGCCGTTGGACTTAGCCGACCCGCGGTCGAGACGATGTTGCCTAAAAGCAGACGGTCCCACAGTTCCCAACTGCCCAACAACTCAGACACAGAGGCAGTGGCAGAGACGGAGGCAAAGACCCGCCATTGCCAGTTCGTCTGTATGTCTGATTGTATGTCAGCTTGTTGTTGCTCTTTTATGTTGCAGTCCTACAAACATATATAAATGGCATTTGCTGTAGTTGCTGATGGACATTTGTTGGCATCTCTTTTGCCTTCAGTTGGGCTGCTGCCTTTTTATGCGCCACAAATGAAAATGCAGACAGACAACGGGCGCCATCCGACTACGGGCAGTATGAGGACGACGACCAGGACCAGGACAACGACGTCTGACGATGACGTCGCATTACAGGAGACAATGGAACCAACTGAACTAAAGCCGGCACAGATCTCGTCGGGTTCGTTGGCAACTGCGCTGCAGTATCCACTTCCTACATGCATTTGAATTATGAGTTATGGTTGGGTACAAAAAAAAAACTATAAAAAAGAAGCGAGCTAGTGGAAAAGCGAAGAAAAAATATATAACTAAGCAACTTGGGTTTTAATTCATAATTATTTTTATGTCAGTGCACTCATTAGAGTTGCTGTTGCTGTTGTTTATATTTTTAAACATTCGCAAAGGGACTGCTAGCTTTATTTCCATTTTCATTTCAATTCCATTTTCTGGTTTTGTCATTTGCATTTCGCATTTGGTTTAAAATTTACAGCTGCACATTTTCGTGTTTTATATATAAATGGCCTCCCTCCCACACCCACAAGCAAACACACATTTTCCGCTTCGTTGTGCATTTTGCAACTCTGTAATTGCAGTCCTCAGTCCAGCACCGCTTATGCTGCCACTAAATAAAAGCCCCAGTTTTTTGCATCCTACTTTATTTTTTTGCAATTAGAATTATTATTGCTCCATTATTACGAATTGGTTCTAATGCATTGTGGAAAATATAGCAATTTCAACCTAGACGAGTATCCCTTTATATTTGAACATGGACTGCACCTTAATTGGTTCACACAAATCTTTGTTTTTAGCTTCAATGTTGATTGAATGAAAATGAGTCTGATTTCGGCTGTGACCTGTATTGCCCTATCACTTATGAAGTCTGAAAACACCATCCGAATAAAAAAAATTGCTTAATGATGATAAGAAAAGAAAGCTTTAAATCAGCCAGCTCTGCTGAAATACTTAAAATTAGTCGATTTGAATACTGGGCAAATAATCCAACTTCGTAAAGCTGTGGGGAAAATAAATATTGATTTCTGTGATTAGTGAGGCCCGAAGATATAGGATGTTCACAGTTTGACTACGGCAAAAAAAAAACGTAGCACCTCATGTGAACCGGATGTGTATAAATAAATACTCCAAGTTTGAGGCAAAAAATTGGGTTCATATTAAAAAACCAATATTATCTCTTACACGCAATTTATGGTACATAAAATAACCCCAATATTTGTTGTTTCCAATCACAATTTTGTAGACACACGCATATACAAATTAATTTGTATATATAAATTATATGCAAATGAATATCTATCTACATTGGTTACATATTTAACAGTTTGCTACGCAAATTCTACGACATTTCCGCACACAATTTCCTGATTTTAGCAGAGTTTAAAGCAGTGCACAAATGTTTAATTCTTTATTTATACTTTTTATTTTGGCAATTTGTCAAATGGGTGTGGCCCAGACCAGGCCGGGTCAATTCAGACATGCACGCGCACACGTACATGAATTATCATTGTCAGCCAAAACTTAAATGCGATAAATTGCCAGCAGCAGATGCAACGGGGAAAATCTATAATTTACAGAAAATTTGCTTCCGAATGCGAGCGCATTCCAATATAAATTTTTCCACTGTCAATGCGCTCAAATGGGAGCTGCACAAGTGCAAATATGCACATGTATATATCTTTATATATATAAATATATATGTATATATATGTGTGCATAAGAATATGTATGCAAGTATTATACATTCATATTAATGTCGCCAGATATGGGTATAGCCATGGCAGGCAGACAGCACAACCTTAGCCAGGCGTTGGCAGCCAAAATGGCCAGATAGGACAGTTGCCAAAAATTAGGGAAAAAACTGGGAAAAAAGCAGTGTCAGAGGCGCAACATTTTCAGTTAATTTGCTTTGTGTCGAGGCACTGGGCAAAAAAGTGAAGCGTTATTTTCTTGGCAGCTTTGATTTGCCAATTGTTTCCGTGTGTTTTGGGCTTTATTAATTCTCACAATTATTTTGAATGTGTTTTGCAGCCATGCCAACGCCCAAGACTGCAAACAGGAATTGTTCAAACCTGCGACAACCAAGTGCTGCCAGCAACAAGAATAAAACAAAAATAATCAGAATAAATAATAATTACTACACAACCTAGAACTTAGCCCCAGGCGCCAGGAATTTAAAAACATGATCATGGAATTGTCATTAATCAGGCACTAGATAAGCAAACAGCCACGATAAAAACGCATAGCAACAACAACAGAGGTATGTGGTAGTAACTGAAGGCAGAGATCAAAAGCAAACGGAGCGGCAACACTTGGGGTCGTAGTAGTTGCAACAACTACGACAACTTGTAAAAAACTACCCCGTGAGAAGTTTGCGTGCTGCTTTTAAGCGGCACCATTGCTTCCATTAAAATAGACGCCGCAGCGCAACAGCAACGCTGCCGTCGTCACAATCAACGCCAGCGCCAGCATCATCCACATCATCGTCATCGCAGACGACGACGGCGCATCCAATCATCGGGATTCGGCGTACTGGGCGAGGGTGTAAGCGTGGGCGTGGGCCAGTCCCTGGGCGTTGGATTTAGCAGATGCTGCCCGTTGCTGGCAGCTCAGCCCGTAGAAGACAGCAACAACGACGACGGCATAGCGATACCAGCCACATCCACATTCACAGGGGCAGCTGCACTGACGCAGCGGCAACCCATCCAGCAGCAAGGACGAAGGCGGCATTACGACAGCCAGTCACTTGTGGGCAATGCAACGCTCTGCGCAGCAACGGTGAGTGAAAATGCCAATTTTTATAATACGTGCAGATAAATATTTATTAGGCAATTATATTGTACCAACTTGTACAGCAGGAAATCTTTTAAGTAAGTTATTTGCGTTGCTTTTCATAAAAGAAAACTTAAAATGCAATTAAACATTATACTATCGTAACAATTAAATTATTTGTTGTTTATTTTCAATTTATTTGTTTATTAAATTGAACGTAGAAGATTAAATTTTATATTTGAAACATTGACAGTTACATAGTACTTGAAAATGCTTTATTGCCTTTTAACGAAATTGGCGAAAGTTAGGTTTATCTTTTTAAATCAAGATATATCGTATCGGAGTAGCCCAACTGAAATCTGAAAATCAGACTGTCAGGTTAATGCACTCAAAATGTTAATGAAGCACATACAAGTCACATTTAAATATATGATAAGCATACGCATGGGGCATAGACTGAGCTATAGACTGATGTTTGGGTCGGCAGACAAACAGGGCACCTTCAATGCGGGCATGCCAGGCACTTTAAAGCTGCGACTCTATGGCTGTAGTCTGGGGCCAAAGTTTCAACAGGAGCCCATTTGAGCTGTGCTAATGAATTCCCCAGCAGACACACATAAACACAATCCCACACACATACGTACATTGAGACCGTGTGCATGTGTATGTGTGACAGTCATATAATTTCTAATGTGCTGCTTTTATGATCGCCATATAGTACAAGAGACACTCACACAATCGCGAAATACACCCACGGGTGCAGGCTCAGTCGGCAGGCAGGCAGCGCACGTGCCTCTTCCTGTGCCTATGTGTGTGTGGCGATGTGCCAGGCTTGCATGTGTGTGCGTGTGTATCTTGCTATATGTCTGTAAGTGTGTGCAAATTAAAATGCATAAAAGGATAACAGCGACGTTGTTGCTAACAAACCGCAGCACCAGCGAGGCGATGTTGCCGCCGTGTGCCGCGACGCCTTTGCCTATGCCTGTCAGCAGCATTGTCATTGCGGGCAAATTTCACGAAACTGCAGCAGCAGCAGCAGCAGCAACAACTACAACAGCAATATGAGTCGAGCAGAGCCCTGGCAAATTGTACTGCAGGGAAAATTGTGATTTTCGCGCTCATCAACAACAACGACAACAACAACCAAAGTGCACGTGTTGCTGTGGTGTTCGCTGCTTAGACGAAAGCCTCGTCTGGTTTAATTTTAGCACTGGGGATGCGGCCCAGAGCTCCGCCCAAGCCCGGGCCTACTCGCACTACGCCTTGAAACTACCAACTATGTGTGTGTATGTGTGTGTGCGTATACATATTGCATACTGTTAGGCGCTCATAAAAAAAAAATGTTACGTTTCCACATAAAAATAGATGCTCGGTTGTTTGTTATTTGTGGCTGCCTTTGCTGTTGTTCTTGTTGTTGTTGCTGTGCCTGTGGTTGTGATTTTGAGAATACAAAAAAAGTAAAGAGCGCATATTTTACTGCCGCAACGTCATAATCATCAACAAGATTTCAGTTATAAACTTTAATATGATTTAAGTTCTTCAGACCCATAATTATCTAGAGCATAGTAAAAAGCGCAGGATTTTATGACAGCTTCCGACTGCTGCTTACATAAGTCTGAGGTGTATGAGTCGCATACTCAACCATAAATAAATATATATATATATATATAAGTGCCACCTTTAACTTTCACTCTCCTACAAGTAATGTATTGGCATGACTTGGGGCAGAGCAATTGCCTAGGATGACACAACTGAGCGATTATTATTGGCAATCAAATGGAGTGCCATAGACCCGCAAGCTACTTTCGGTTTCCTGCTGATTGCAGGAAGCACATCATCAGAATAAATCAAAACACTGCAGAAGTCCTCGGGCAAACTTAATAAAATGCATGCGGGAAACGAAATAAACTAGAGAAATATACGCGAAACTGTATTTGACAAACATCAATATTTGAGCTATAGTAGTACGTAGCTTATCATTGCAGTGATTATAATACTTGGATTATTTATTCATTTTCACTATTAGTCTCCTTCTGTGTTTACTGTCCCTCTAAGTTTACTGTCGTTTTACTGTCGCATATTGGTAATGACTACTTTAAGGAACCAAATAAAATTGGTTCACTTATTTTTCATGCCTCAGAAAAAGTTAATGTAAAGATATATTTCAAAATGATCTGTCCAAAATACATTTTATCTTAATTCAAGATCTCCCATGGTAACATACGTATCCCAAAACACTGTTCCAATTTCCTTCTGACTAATATTAATGCTGAAAGCACTACGCTTTGCTTTTACTGTGTCGTTTCCCGCCCCCTGGCAACTTGCTTGCGCTCATGTGCGAGTAATTCTTAAGCCAATGAAGCGTTCAAGTCCAATTTGGCCACAGACCACATTTTTAGCGAATTTCTTTGCGAAAATGTTATATGCTTTCGATAACATTTTGCTCGAGTGACAAATTTTTGTCGCCAGCGCAGAAAAAAATGGGAAGAACAGGAAAAGTTTTCAAAAAAGATGGAAGGATGGCTGGCAGGCGAATAGAGCAAGTGTTAAATGTTGACATGTCATGACATTGCAGAGAGCTACGGCCAGGCAGCTGTGCCTGGGCTAGTTAAACGAGCAGCATCAGCAGCAGCAGTAGAATATTGGTCAACATAGAGTAAGGAGCAAGGCCCAAAGCGTACCAGGAAGCGGCTTACGTACTGACAGCTGACAGGCGAATCAATGAACTGCGTTATGATGGGCCACCAAGCCTCTTGGCCCATGCCATGCTCTCCCCACTCACTGATACATGAAATAACATTTGCTCTTTGCTCTATGGATGTGTGCGTGTATGAGGCTGTTGTATGTGTCTGTGTGTTTGTGTGTGTGTGTGCTAATACACAGCATAACATCAACAAATATTGTCAACGCAACATTCAACTTGTTATCCCTTCCGCTTGCTTGCTCTGTTTCCGTCGATGTCTTTGCGAGCGTCTCTGCTTAATTTCGATTTGAACTCCATGAAGGCCGCCATTTTGTCTTTCGCTCTTTCCGTCACTCTCGTTTGCAGTTGGTAAGGCAATGCCTAATGCCATCTCCCTCACTTATTTGCAGAAATTTATTGAAATTGTTTGTCAAATTCCGTTTACTTGTTTTGCGCATTTTGGCCAAATTTTCTTTCGCTTACGACGACGACGGCGACAGACTTCTACTTCCGCTGATGTCCTTTACGCCACTTTGTCGTTTTTTTCCTTCTCATTTTGGCTTGGCAGTTAATCTGAAAACTGGCTGTGTACTCTTTATATGACCGTTTCGTGCCATATCAAGCACAAGTCTCGAGGCCGCCGCCGTTTCTTTTTTATAAGTTTCAGCTATCCAATTTTTTTCGATGGTTTTTCTCACCATTTTCCATACATACTCGTCTATATATGTATCTATATAAGTATAAGTCTTATGTTATATGCTATATGCCACTGTTTGTTATTCATTTTGCATGCAATTTTCTGTCGTTGTTGCTGTTGTTGTTGCTGTTGGACAAGTAGCTAACGGAGCTGGTTTACATTTTGGGTTCGGTTCTATATGAGCAACTGCTGGCTCTTTCACTTCCACAAAAGGGATACAAAATATTGAAAGAAGCTGACAGACAACGGGTATCGGCAACAGAGGCAGGTCTTGGCCCAAAGCAAAGACTTTGAAGTTTTTATTGATGTTGTTTGAATTTGAATGACGTTGTAAAATTATACGCAAAAATATGCAGCCAGCAAAAATACGAGTGCTCCAATAGCAGACGAAGGGAAAAGCAAAAAAAAAAAACACAAGAATCTCAAAGATACAAAAATGTTGCAAAGAATTTTTTGTTTGGCATTTACTACCATCTTTTTGCCATTTCTGTTACCAATGTGTGCGCTTGTGTGTGTGTTTGTGTGTGTGCGTGTGTTTTTGTTTGCTGGTAAACGGTAAAGAAAAGTTTTATGTGCATATTTTTCTTAGCTCTATATAAGCTTAGTCCACTGTCATTTATGTTATACATTTCTAAACGCATTTTGCATAAATTGTTTTTACGTGTTGTGGCTAGGGGGCATTTCAAGTGTTGGCTAGTGTGAACAAATTTTGAGCTGTGCAAAAAACTTACAACAACAAAAATCAATTTATTTAGAGTTCTCGAGATGAAAAAGTCTGTAGTGAATCAAGTCAAACTAACATCTTAAGTATATCAAGCCTACATTCTCTATATACATTCTCTATGTCAAATATTTGCTAGTATAGCAATTGAATCAAATTCGTAATTATTTAAATTTATTTCAACCCAATCCAACGCTTATTATATTGACCAATTGTTATCTTGAAAAATATAAGTATTAAGAAAATCAATTTCCGCAAGCTGTGTAACAATCAATATATTTATTCTGATCATTTTTCGATTATTGAAGCAGATTTCATCAATTCAAAAGAATGTAGGCTTAAGCTTAATCATATAAATTTATTTGGTCTTTGCAGATGCACTTTACTTTTTTACCGAACGTTACCTCATTATTACTGTAGAACATTTGTCTTTGTTTTTGCTTAAAAGAAGTGCTATTTTATCGACCACGTTTTCATCACTTAAAAGATTTACCGGCTTCAAATTTGAGTAAGCTGAGTAACATCAAGTCAGATGCAATCTGAATGTTAACGGAGTCAGGACACTTTTTTTTGCCAAGTTACCAAATCAATGGTGGGGGGCAAGTACGTAAGCAGCAAACAGAGCGAAAGAGTGAGATGGAAATAGCACAATAACGCTAGAACGCACTTGCCCTGGCTTATTTATACCAGCACAACAGACACACACCAACACGCGCACGCACATAAGACCATAATAGGCTCAAGACGCTTTCATTCAACACTTTTTAGGTAGCCAAAATGGCGCCAGCATAAAAAGCACGACGTCAACAACAAGGACCAACAGTAACGACAACAACACAAAATAAAAAGAATGAAACAGGGATTGGAATGAATGGCGTAAAGAGCAGCGTAATAGCTATACGCAC